ATAGTAGTTTCGGTATCACATTCATGTAGAAGTGACAGAACCTAATGGCCCACTTCGCCTTTCTTGCCGGCCACCTGCAATGTTTCTTTGTAGCAGCCAATCTACCTGTCTTAATGAAAAAGAAATGTCTTTTCAACCGAGCAATCTACTTACCCGCTTGAACTCGTTCATATTCACACCGCTAAGTGGTGTTCCATAGATCCTCAGTTTTTCTATCTCGGTTACCTGCAATAAAGATCAATAGTGAATCTCAGTAAGGTTAGATTTGAGGTAAATTTAACAAATTAACAAACATCGCCACCACCGCGGTTATTCTCGATAAACAGCTGTAGGTTGTTGACGTTCTGGAACTTCACATATTTCAGCTGCTGCAACTCCGGCTCTGAAAAAAGATGAGCTGTATGAATGAGATGGTCAGCTGGATAAGAACGAAAATAAAGGAGCAAAAACAATAATTAATATTCGGAAAAAAGACTCCGATTTAAGCAGCACTGAGTGATACTATGTCTAAAAGGAAAGCGAAGTTGATTGTACAAGATCTGCCGACAACTTATCCTGATTGCACGGTAAGCAATAAGTAGTGAAACACAGTTTAATCTCCTAATCCCTGCCCTACTCTCTCCTATACATAAGAATACTTCAGCAAACAATTCACTAGAAATTCAAACCAAAGTTGATAATCAATCCCACTCAATTACAAAAGGGAGAAGAGAATTAGGCGAGAGTGCAACTCAAATAAATTAATGATGAGTAAAACCAAAAAGATGCCGCTCACCAGTTTGCGCCTTTTCACTGAATTCCAGTACCTGAACAGCTTCGACAGAAGTTGCCCCATCAAAGTCTAGCGTATTTGGAAGATTTGAAAATACCCGCACAAGTCTGGGCGTTTTTTCTTCGTTGCCCTTCAATAGAAATAACCCAGTTCTAACCAAAGGCACATCTAAACGTAGAACTCTTACCTTCAGCATAATGGAATGTACCTTGACAGGCTGAGTGAATGGGAGAGAAATGATAAGCTGTTCATCACAATCGGATCTAAGCACATTCTCGCCTAAATATGAGATTTCAAACACATTAAAAGTGAGATAATTCGAAGATGCCTTCAAGTAATCCAGCCAGCGGAGTGGAATCGTCTCCATTCAGACATTCCATTTGCCTTTTGTCTATCAAACAAGTGATATCTGATTGGCCAGGGACATCTCCGGATGGCTGAGTGTCGGCCCATTTCTGCACCATAGCCTCAAGACCACTATTGTTTGCAC